GTATGCAAGTTTCTATCCGTTCTGGTCAAAAGTTGCTGGCGCTGAGTGGCGCCAGCGCCAAAGCGATTTTGATATTGTGACCGGGAAGGTGAGCAACCCCTCTAGTCAAAGTTCCAGCAGAAGAAAATGGATTTTAGTGGTTGTAATAATTGATCAGTAAAATAAGAATGAGGGGATAACAAACGAATTAAATCCCCAGTTCTATGAAGGATAAGAAAGAGTACCTACCTCTTCATTGCTTCTCGAGGTTTCTGATCGAATTTCGTCGGAATGTACTCGTTTTTCTCTGGCATATGAAGCGCAGGGTGCACCGTCTCTATAGCTGCTTGGAATCGATTCATCGTACCCTGTGAAACCCATGAAGTTCAATACAAACCAACCCCATTTTTTGCTGAACTGGCGCATATTCACCAGAAAAACACCCCAAGAGTACCTCACTAATGTCACTGATTCTCATTTCTGTCCCATAGACTGGCTCTTCTGTATTTCCTTCCTGACCGCTGAAGTTCTTCGCAATCACCATGTAAAACATATTCTGAGGAGTTAGCATATCGATAATTTCCATGATACGATCTAAAGCACATAAAAATGCTTCAAAAATCGAAAATTTCAATATTAGGTATTAAAATTACTCCAAATTAAATCAGTCGTAGTGCTGAGGAGGCACTAACCCTTAACATACCGGGATTGAATTCTGTTAACAAATAGTGCCACGATAGAATATCTTCGAAAGGTACTTGCTTCAGTTCAGACGCCAGCTTCGTAGCCAAACTCATCGGATTTTCCTTGTCCTGGAATGGAAAGAAGCTAATGAAGTAGTCGTTTATTGCATAGTAAACATAGAGAATATAAAGTTTACAAACCTTAAATCGGAACTTAAGCTCTCCCAATTCACTGAGCTCCTCTTGAACCCACGACAGAGCACCGGTACGTTTTAGTAGACCAATATAGTTAAATACTAAGCTGACAATATCTTCTGTATGATTAAGGCCATCTGAAACAAGGAACTACTACACAATGAAGTTTAAGTTTCTTTTTTATCCTTTCTTTATGTTTCATCAGCTTTGAGTAGCGGAGGTGTGAGAGGTGTAGGGGCAGGGATGAGTTCGCCTCCCATGCACGGCTTTTCTCCTACAGTGTAATCTGCCTAGTGATCAATTCAGAAAGAAAACAATTAGTGGTAAGCGGGTGGTTGGGCTCTTTCCGATCGGACCCTTGGTGGCCCCACAAAAACAAATGCTCCGCGGAATAAGACAACCAACTCAGGTGTTTCAGTTACATGCTGCTCGGAGTTGAGATAGCGCAGAAACTCGCGCACCACAAACGCTGGGGACGAGCAGAAGAGGCGTCTACTGCTGTACCATTACTCGGTAACGATGATAAGACATTTGGTTTGAGAGTGGCATCCAGTGTTTATAAGCTGCATGAGAAGGAGTAACTGGTAGAAAAATCACTTACCAACACTGAGATCAACATGAATATCGAATGTGCTCATTCCTTTTGCCAAAGTGGATTCACCGGCAGAAAGCGAGCTTACCCATCCCAAACGCTTCAGTTCTGACAACAGTGATCCTTTCCCTTCGTGTCCAAGTAAATGAGCTGAAAGAAAGGTTCAAACAAATCAATTTACGATGATGTAGGGCCGATTATGTAGGAAACTCTCGGAATTTCACTAGTAGAACCACTGTGAGCAAAAACTCACAAATATAATGAGCAGGGTTTGATTTGTACTCTTCTTGCAGGTCTGGAATGGGGAAGCGAATCGTTAGACTACGCGAGTCTTTGATGGGCACAATCTGAAATCAGTCTGAATTTAGAGGGAAAAACCATGTAGAATGTACTGAACGTCACAACTTCGGCGCAGTTCCGGCAACAGGAGACGGTGGGATGGCATTTTGCACTTTCGCTGTGTTGTCAAAGGTCATCTGAGAACTCTGTTGAAATCTTGCCGGCCATTTGAGTGATATCAGTCAAAGCTGGTAGAAAACTTACTGATTAACTCTACAAGAATACTGCCAACTCTTGTAAAACAATGAACAACGGCGATGGGGCAGCAGCCAATCGTGGAAATGCCTACCCCCCTAGCCAAACTGGGCCAGACGATAAATAAGATAAATCTGGGAGGCTCAGGATCGCTTAATCAACATAAGGCGCTATATTTCATGAAATGCGCCATTCTGATCAAAGTTTTCACATCATCGCCTTCACAGAAAACAACAGCACGAAGTTGGCAGCGTCTGACAAATGCGGAGTCTTAGTGAAATTATACTAACACAAAAGGAACTAGCAAACAAAAGCGCAATGCTGGCTCTCCCAAGACGAACAGCCCAAATAGTTCGTATTTTTCCAGAACCAAACCTCGATTACGCGCTTCGCTAACTGCTTCCTCTCCGTAAGGGACTCTCCAGCCATTCCTTTGGCTTCACATTCTTATTCTCAATAGCATCAAAGCCTAAAGTGCCCAGGTACGATTCCATTTTGTCCAGCGACTCCGACCCGACAATACACAACGAATGATCTGGGAAGATTTAAAAAACACTGGACCACCCCTTCTGTACCATATTAAGACTGTATGTAATCAATAGAAAACTAATAGGCGCCAAGCAAGCAATAGTTTTTGAAGATATTTCAGACATAGCCCTCCAAGGCGCCTGAATATTACTGCGACTAAATATGTGCCTGGAATCATCTAAAAAGAAACATGATTACAGGAAGAGCGAACACTTACATATTTAGAGCTATACCATGTTGTGAAATTCAACAATCGACTTCTCTTCGGTATCAAATACCGTTCTTGCGCGAGCATCTTCCATCAAAGTTTTCTGCAAACTAAGTAGTTTCGAAATGACTCATACCACGAACTGGCAACAGGGCACGTCTTCGTGGAAGATATTCGCCAAAATCATAGGGTTGGAAGGACGAGTCCTGATCCTTCTTCCCTCGGTCGTTATTTATTGAACATGTCAAGTTTCCTAGGCAGCTCCGGACGTGCTCATCGTTCTTATGAGTGGCGCACGCGCACTGGAGCGAGGCAAGCGGCCCGTAACATCAACTGTGCATTGGGGGAGGACACCACCACCGTCAGGACTGTCCACCGTTGGTTCGCTCGCTTCGCGAAAGGAGAGACGATCTTCGAAGACAAACCTCGTCTGGGACGCCCTCACGGCGTGAGGGACTCCGCCGTTCTCAAACCTGTCAGAGACATATCCGGAGCGCTACCTTCCGCCCGCCTCCCAGCGCGGCAGCCTGCACCAGTAGATCAAAAACACCCCAGCGCTCTACCGCTGTGCCTGCCCAATTATTGCGACCAAGAGCGGGTTAGCATATCAACAGCTTTTCAGTGGAGCCTTTAAGTCCCTTGGCCTACAGAACAAAACCCTCACGCGATGGATACCTCACGATCTGACAGGTGGCACACGGTATGCCAGGGTGAGCACCTGTCAATCCCTCTTTTTACACCGTAACCGAAAGGAGTTTCTTAGAGGATAATATCTGTGACTTACGAACATGAGGAGTTGGGGTGCTCTACACTTTCCAACCTACGCCGTGCCATGTGGCTTCCTCGAGGAGAAGACCCGCCCACGCAAGCCAAATCGGACCTGCACCCAAAGAAGGTCCTCCTCTGCTGCTTTTTGGGATTTCGAAGGCATGCTGCACCACTGACGACTGCCTCTCGCGAAGGGCAAACGGTACAGACCGCTACCGTTTACACCGCCAGCTCCACAAAAAACTCGCGCAAGGCTTCTTCGGAGAAATAAAGGGCCAAGACCGAGCTTCGGTGCACCTCCTCCATGACCATGATACATGTCATAGCCAACATGCTGCTAAAGAGGACCCACTGACATATCGAGGAGCTAGACTGGGAGACCGTACCCCATCCACCATATTCTCTAGACTTAGCCCCTCCGATTATTACCTGTTCCGCTCCCTCAAGGCTTTCTTAGGCAGGAAAACCGCCGCCCCCTTCAGGCGAATTCGAAATGATATCAGTTTTGGAAGCTTGCTACTTCTTCGACTCGCAGCCTCCCCAGTTCTGGGAGAAGGGGATCGCTGACTTGCCCATTAGGTGGAGCACTGTAGTGGCTAACAATGGCGATTATATTATTGATTAGTTTTTATTTCATGTTGAGTTAGAAAATAAAAAAGAAAAAAAATCACAACAGTGACATCGACTTTTAGCTTCACACCTATACCATACAACCTTACAGCCTCCAAGGAAGTTTCGCTGTACGACTTCTTTTCTCCATTCCCCAACCTACTACCATTATCCTGTAAACCTCCCTTTGCAGCCACTTCTTCAGTGAAAAAACGCCGCCGACCAGGGGGGTATCTAGTGTGAACGAAAAAATGAGAACAAGATTAAACAAGACATTTTATCAAAAGCAAGTACGCCCCTCCCTCCCTTCACTGCCGAGCACGACCCTCTTGCTGGGGGATTCCCAACGTACGACGTGCCCTGACTGACATCCCAATAATACAAAATTATACTCACCTTGTTACCTGTACCAAACTTCCCATAGTCATGGCCTGGTTTGGAAAGAAACCTAAACAAAATGTGATTCCGAACAAAATCAATACCTCTATCAAAAAATAACGCCATAAAAAGGGAACTCAAATCGAAAACTAAAGAGAGGTGGCTGTTATACACTAGAGCTTTCTTTACTTTCACGTCTTTTGATGTAACGATCAAAGATTTTTGGTAGCCGAAAAAATGTTGAGCGCGAATGTTATGAAGGAACTCGGATGATTAGCTGGGTCCGCAGAATCCAGAAACGACAAAGGACAGCTTTCAAGGACATCAGCAACACATGGGCATAAATTCCCCCCCCCCCCTCTCCCTCTCCAAAAGTTGCACCGTTTCATCAGCAATCGCTATGTCGCATAAAAAGAGAGCTGAAGACCGCGCGCCCAGTGCACCAAAATCTGTTTACCCTCTCAAACCCGTAACTGCTACCGCATTCTGCCGCTAGATTTATACATCATTAGACGAAAAAGTGTTTTCTAACCTTTCGGCAGGCGCAAGGCGACTTGGTGGGGGCTTCTTGATGTTGTACGTGTAATGTAATACCAAAGTTGAACGTGTAATGCAACAGTTACTAGCGTTACTAACAAAAGAAACCAGCGAAAGTACAAGATGCAACCCGCCACTCCTTACTGAACAGCACCCTTTCAGCTTTCACGAACATCTAACATGAGAAAGTTAAAAAACTCTTTCCAACTCGGAACGCGATCTGCGGCGTAAAGAGAAGTCATCAAAACAGTACATACTGAAAAGTTCTCACCGTTCCACCTGCAGTTTCCGCCATCCATCATTCTTGAGGTTATTCGAATGTTCTGAGTCAACTGCACATACCTTAAGAGTTCAACTTTCTCTTGGATTTTTTCTTCAAACTCAAAGTATTCCAAACCACATCTAGAGAAAGCAGAAGACTGATGCCTCAAATACACCATAACAAACCTCTCTTTCAGTTGCACTTTCTGTGAATTGTGGAGCCAAAAAGAACTGCACAAAGCGATCTAATGCACCCTTAAATATGAAATTTCGTCAGAACAACATTTCGCATAAATCAGAAGAATGCCCGTGGTAAATGATAAGAATAACCTCTAATTCGTCTGGCTTTACATCAAAATGGTAATTTGTGTGATCAGCCGCTGTATACGCATTGGTGGTACCAGCATGAGCAGAAATAAACTGAAACGTTCAGCATTCTAAAAACAAACCGTGGAGAGAGGAAAGTGCATTTTACTCACCTTACTGTACTCGTTTTCTGAAGGGTATTTATCGGTACCTAGAAACAGCATATGTTCACAGAAGTGAGCCGTACCCGGTAGTTCCCAAGGATCCATGAGATGTCCTGAAATTTTCAGGTGGAAATAGACAACGGCCACAAAGTAACGCACTATGAGCAACACCTGTACCAGGAAGGACAGGGGTTCTGTTCATTGCCTCCCAAGAATTTTCATGCACATTTTAGAGGCAAAACATACACCCTGAGCGATTGCGGGCCTGCGCGTCTTAGAACGCGTTCATACTTCGCGAATGGTCAGCTGAATCGCGCGATCACGGCAGGAGCGCTCCACTGTGATCAGTAGGACGCTGCAACGGCGGAATTCAACCTGGGCAGCGTTCCTACGTTCGTGCACCGTGTGAACCCTGCCCAATTTGAATTCTGACTTGCAGCGGTCCACCGATCGGCAGGCAGCACCTCTCGCTGTGGTCACGGTCACTGTCGCCGTCAGACCGCAAAGTAGACAATAACGATTATTCAGTAGGGCGCAAGTGGCTCACAAAAGAATTTAGGCGTGAGGTTCAGTGCATTGCAATAGTCGACCACGGACTCGCACCATATTCGACGCGCGTTACCTGAAAAAGCGGTCGTAGCCGATTTGCCGACATATG